GAAGATCTGAAAATAAATAAGCATAGTTTGAGAAAGATGTATATTGACGTTCTGCTTCCAATTGATTATTGCACAGAACATTTCCAATGCATTTTAACTACGCCAGAATGCCGACTATCGAATGCAGTAACTTTCAACTTCCATAAAAACTGCACTTGGTGAAAAAGACTAATCAATTGGATCTAATTTTTCCATTTATTTTTGAGGCCCTTATAAATTCAAGTGTATTTTGTGAAAGCAAAATAAAAATATCCCTTCTTCTACTCTTTTGGCAACAAATGATGTCTTCAAATTTTATACTCGAAAAAAGATCAATACGCGTTTTTTTTACTAATCATGAACATTTCTGAACTCGACCTGTCGCTGCATTTGCGATTAGAATTTACAGACTAGAGGCTTTATATGCAAGAAAAAAGCATACATTCCGCCTTGCCTTTAAAAAGGTACTATGTACGGCTCATGACATTTTGGAACTGATGTAGACTACTTTTTATGCCCCAAAAGAACATTACTAAAAGGGTAGACATGACGCTAGTTGAATGGACATTTCACGGCCTTATATTGGCAGTCTTTGCCCCTCATGCGCACTTCTCCCACTGATAGCCAAATAATTTTTGCCGCCGCTAGGATTCGAGCGTTCTCGTGTAGTGGACAACCAAGTAAAAACGAATTCCGGTTCGAAAAACAACAGTTTGAAGTGTCTGCTGATCACTTAAAATTATTGCGTCCGTTAAGAAGACATACAGAAAGTGTGATGATTGTGTTTCTTTTTAGTTTCCTTGTAAACTAACTGCTATTTTGGAGTAAGTCAGTTTGAGCTAAGGTCAATGGGCATAGACCGAAATTTAATGTATGAATGCCTGGGCCGATGTCCATCAGCCACCGCGGAACAACAGCGTAATATTCATTAACTGCCCGACGGCAGTTAGGAGTATGTAAATGGCGTTGCAGGATACCAAGCTAACAGCACACGTGCTAGCTAAAAGCCCAGAAACATGTTTCGCAGATATTTGACCAGTGCACGAAACATATTCGAGGGGTCCGACACATCAGTAGGTTCCCCAGCATTTCCCGCGTGTTCCCGAGGCAAACATATAAAAATACATGACTGCTCAGCAACTAAGAGGTTGAACACGGGACCATGGATTGCCGGCACTATAGGTGAATTTGCGCCAAGATTCAGGCGGGCCATATTCCCTCGTTTCGATATTTGCCTTGGTCTGTGTCCTGACACTTGTCTCAACTATCCTAGCCCTAACCTTAGAATTAACTCTCTTGGGCTTAGTCTTAACCGTAACCCTAGACCTAGTCCAAACACCAGCTTTGACCCCAACTCCAACCACCCTGTAACGCAGGGGTACACATTCCCACGTCCAACCAGCGAATGCAACTTGACAGGAATTGCGAACGAAAAATCGTAAACATGCCAAAACACAATATTTCATTTCTCATTAAGGAAAAGCTAACACTGATTCGAAAGAAGACAAAACAGTTGGAAATAATGCAGTGCAACAGGAAAGTGATTGGGTGCAGCATTCAAAATACACCTCTACTTGATGCTTCATTTAAAGAAACAAATGCAGCCACATAAAGGCAAACCGTGCTTGAATATTTTGGCTCGTAGCACGGCCAGGAGGCGTTGAAAAGTGCTCAGAAGACTGAACGTGCAAAAGCACAGGTCGGTGGCAGTTGTGGGGAGTTCAAAGGTTCCAATAAACCTACTCAGAGGATTACTGACAGAGCGTGAGATGAGAGAGCAGTTTTAATCATGCCATTATACGATGAGCGAAATGCAAGCGCCCTGGCGAAAGGGTTAAGAAGATTAACTGTGTCTTCAGATAACGCCAAGGGGCTTAAAACATGTCGGCAGGTTGAACAGGTCAAATGTCCAAGTAGATTTAACTAGGTGATTATCGAGGAGACAAACATATAAAAGGCAGCGTTCCTGTTGAATTTCCAAGTGCTCTCTCCTGGACAAGTAATGAAGGTGTGTATATTGATCTTAGCCCTTTCGGTATGCAGTTTGGCGCTGGTTCCAACAGAACTCCCATCTGAGGAAGGCCCTGTTTCTACCGATGAAGCGACCGATCTTGCTGGTGCTGCTGGATACTATCGCTCATACTATCGCCCGTATTATCGTCCCTACTACAGAAGATACTATCGCCGCTATTACTAATGGACTTGCTGCTAGACAGATGACTTTGGCGTCGCTACCCACTCTATGATTTCTCCTCGAAACAATTAAATTTTCTTTAATAAACGGCCGATTTCTTATGCAGTTGCACAACACTGTTTTTTGTTATTCCGTGAGCTGCACAGCGTCCCCAAAAGCACTTCGATAAATCAACATCAGATATGGGACACTAGTATGGTTTGTTTGATCGAACCATGACCTTTACTTGGTCTTAAATGATTAATATCCCTGACTGGCAGACACTGGCTTCTGAAGATTACTTACTACCGTCATGTATATTTGGTTGTGGAAAGGGTGACAAAAAAAATTTGGAAGGGATCATTGTGGACAACCGTTGGTCTATTGGCCAATGCATCCACCGATACCCACGGATGTTGGTGCTAACGATCGTGGGCTACAGCTTTAACAATAAAAGTGCGTATTCACTAGTAAACACCCCCGAAGAGTTCGAGGTCAAATATGCGACATTGCCTTAAATAAGCGGCCATCTGGTGCTTAGGTTGTAACGCTCCAGCGCGTACAAGCCCTCCATCTCTAGCCTGTACGCAGCGTTTGTAATCATGTAACCAAGGCCTCGGACGCTGGGCTACGCGCGGATGCGGTCTCTGGGACGACCAATCACAGACACGCACAAACTCCGCAACCACCCAATCAACTGACGAAAGTGTCATCGACTGACTCTCACTCCGCACCTTCGTTCACGCGCAAATCACCCTAGTGGACAGACGCGCATGCACAGGTGCAAAGCTAGCCGCACGCCAGGGCTCTGTCTATTACGGAGCCAGTGTACAGAATGCACGCCTCCTACTTGCGCCTTTCCCGACATCCTCTAAAACGGGTGGTGGTGGTGGTGGTGGCGGCGGCGGCGGCGGCGGCGGCGGTGGTGGTGGTGGCTGGTGGTGGTGGTGGTTGTGTTTGTAGATGTACCTCCCACTGTCCTAGCCGCCACAACGTTACCTGCAGTTTGTCGTGGCAGTTAAAAAGTTTTTTAAATAAATTCAAAGAGCCATTTGGTATGTATGCTACTTATCTACTGCAGTTACAACGGTTGTTGAAAGTACTCTGGGCAAATAACTTTTCACTGTTTTCCTAGATCCCGGAATTTTTATATCCATGCCAGACTGAAATTCTACTATAATATAGCGCGTAGCCTAAATATTGCTGCGCTAGAGCGCAAACATATTGCTAACGTAAAATTTTGAAAAGGCTAAAAAATAAAACCGTCTTTTCCATGCAGTTCCTAACGAACGCGCTACTTTTGACCTTCGCTGAAAGGAATCAAGCATATCTTAATCATAGCGATTGCGAAATGCGCGAGATTGTCTGCCTGCTGAGAAGGTTCGAAATCACTTAATAAATAGCTGGTAGAGATCGACTGCAAAATAACCGAAAGGCAAGTCTCAAACTGGGCCAGATCAGCAAAACATGGTTGTGGTTGCGAGAGATATTGTGTCTTTATCGAAAGTTCGGTTAAATGTCGAGCACAACATCTTTTCGCAAGATCCCTAGGCACGTTCTGTTTTAGCATAAAAACCGATTTTCTACAGGTTTGTTTTTTTGTGGGATTTTCCTGGAAATACTAAACTTTCGCTACAGCATCGTCAGTGCGGACGAATCCGTGAAGGGAGTATATACCACTTCAATCAAATCAGCGGTCTACCCTCGTTTTTTATAGCATCTTAATGTCGGAGAGAAGGCGCTCTATAAACCCTTTACCTTTCTGAGATGACGGAAATAGCGAGGATCCATCCTATAGCCTCAAGGGAGGGGTTCTGTCTCTCTGTAGAGCGTTGCTTACCTATACCTAACCCTTACGCATTCTGCCCCAAGTGGAAATTGACATTCTGAGAGAAGGACTGGTTTACATGGAGAAAGTAAGATTTTGAAAAGAGTCTGTCTGAAATGAGACACCTACCATAAGAAGCGGAACCTGACCTTATGACAACTGATTAAATTTAACCACGGTCTGCCATAATTTTATTATTTTTTGGAAATTATTTGGCGTCTTTAAAAGAGTCACTGATATGAGAGCGTATTTCATTGACACATCCGAGTCCTTAGTCTTGCAAATGTAATGAACGGCGCGCGACCCGTTTCAATACACTCAACACTGCTCTGCCTCTCAGTTTTCACGAAATCTCTCAATAGTTACTCAGGAAGGACCTTCCATCGCGCCATTTCAGGTAGAAACTCTCCATTCGCACCTTTCGCCGACATACACACCGACGCCCTCTCTCAAGTCTTTTAACAACATACTGTAATTTTCACTACTCTGGGAGCTTTCCCTTCTAAAACTGTTTATGCATCTTATTTTGACATACTTACCGACTCAGATACGCATCTGGCACTGTCTCTGGTGACGGGTTCGAGCATGAATCCAAAACGTCAGGCGAATAAAACTCGTGTTTTAGCGACCGCATCTCCTTCTCTAAACCCTATTATCGGCATACCGTCATGTTTAATAATCTGTAGCGTTACTCGTCAAATTATCTTATTCTTTTTCGGATTTCAAAAAGAACTGAGACTATGTTGGTTCAGACGAGGGTAATCTGGTTAGTAAGAAAACATTCTAACCACTTGACTTTCGATTATTATTAAACAGGTCATAGCCATCCCAGGAATATTCAACAAGCAGACCGATCTTGACTGACTTCAGAAAACGCTGAGAAAAGTTGTTTAATGAAAAAATCGGACAGAGTCAGTTGTTTTAACTAAAAATGCCAGGAATAAATCGTTCACTTTTTAAATGCCATCCATCATGACATTGAGTTCCTCAAGACTGAGTTCTCCATCGCCGTTGGCATCAAACTTTTTAACTAATCTTTCGACGGCTTTGGAATCCAATTTGCTGCCGACTTCGCGTAACATAGCAGCCAACTCTGCAGCGCTGACTTTGTTGGAGCCATCGGTGTCCAATTCTTTAAACATGGCGATGACGGATTCGCTGAAGCTAGATAAAGAGGGGGAGATAGAGAGGAACGCTTTTTAACGCATTGTATTAGTAAAGGCACAAGATAAATCCTCGGCATCGGCCACTTCACTTGAATCCTTGTATATCGGTATAAAGGAGTTTTGCAAACGATTCGAATTTCATAGCTGGTCCTTCTTCTTCGTACTGCATTACGGTTTATCTGCGATTAACATTGTTTGTCGCAAGTTTTTTGATAAGTACCCTTGCGGGTTTGTAGAATCATAAAGTTCTACAATTACATCTTTTCCTGAATCTGACACATCGACTAATGAAATATTTACTGCAGATATAAACATATGCGAACGGTTCCAGTAAATACTGTTTCCGCGTCCGTAAACTCGGCAAGCGCGTCAACGAATAAGGATGTTGAATATTTTTCATCAGGACAGCAAAATTCAGATACATACTCAACTTTATAAAAGAACCTTAACATTAATCTGAAGTTTGTTTGAGACAAACTGGATATCTCACGGTGTTTTAAAGAAGTGAATCCTAGCGGTCGAACGGTTTCGTTTGCCAAAATATCTAGCAAACCTCATTGTTTTTTTAAACTTCAGATTGCCCATGTGTTGATCTTATGGTGTATGGAATTTCAACTTGTATTTGAGCAAATTATACAGTACTTTGAAGTAAGATTACACATTGTATGCGATTTTAGCATATATGAAATTGAAATCTAGTTGATAATCAAATCTTGCGCACTTACCTCATTTTCGGAAACCAGTGAATCTAAAAACTGAAGACAATTTAGTTTAGCAGTGGACGAGTTAGGCCTGTTGCTTTGTGTGCTTATTACTGAACACAAACTGAAGTAAACACTTACGTGCAAATTAAGGTTCCCAGCCAATCAGTTCGGCAGCATTATTTATGTGTCTACCGGCAAACGTTGGTTGGAAGGCTTGTGACTTCGCAGTCATCCCCTACTGTACGATTGGTTGTCCCAACCTGCTGAGGTCGATGAAACGTCCAGCATTCTCGATGGTAGGATTCCTATCCTTCAAGCGCACAGACTGTCCAGTCAAGTGTAAATTACTGCCTATTTCAAGGTTTGGACCGCCAAGAATGTGCGCGGGTACAGGACTGCGTGACACTAACGTGTTTGTCTACACAGTAATCTGCAGTGTAAATCTAGCTTTTGAGTGTCTATTAAGCCGCCCCCCCTTAAATTCTATGTTGGTTCAATCAATATCTCACCTTACTTCAAGCATAGGCGCAATACAATCACCGATTGCAGACTACAGTTAAACGTATAGAAGGAAGCTGTGCACACGTCTGAGTAGACCCCAAGGTGTCCATCCCCAAAAGTGTTTTATCTCTAGACGATTGGAGGGTTCGAGATGTGCATGTTCTCGGGCAGAATTTTAGGATTCCGTAAACCATTGTCGAATTAAAACGAAAAATCCAAAATCCAACTTCCTTTTCTCACTAGGAAGTACTTGAAGACAGGTGATACGTTGCGT